TTAAATGAATTGTACTTTTCAAACTTTGTTATCTTTTTCATTTTGATCATTGATCTTTTAATTACTTCAGTTGTGGCCAATTTCAACTTTTTTTTTTCAATTTCTATTTAATTTTACTCTTAATTGCATTCACGTATTATTTTTCCAACCAGCTATAAATTAACTTGTTGTTTGATTGTAACCCAACTTGTATTTTATTCTGGAAACCTTTTTTTCAAAGATTTTGCTCTAAAAATAAATTTTTTTTTTTACTCTTTGAAGATATTTTCTCTGGAAAATTTAAGGGTAAAAATTATGTTATAACACAGTTTATAAGAATCCAAATTCTTTCTATTTGATTCTAAAATCTATGAGACATAGAAAAAACTAGGTATCATGCTCGCACGATGCTGTAGGCTTGTGGTATGTTTGTCTATTGTCGTGGATTTGTGAAAAAAATAAAAAAAAAATCATATAAAGAAAACTGTTGCAATCCACAATGTTTTCAAGGAAAAAACTACAAAGCTAAATTTTTAAATATATTAATATTTAAAAAATAAAATGAACAAAGAAAATTTTGAAAAAAATCATAACAAAAAAAACAAAAAAAAAACCATGCAGGGAAATATTGTAGCAATCTATAGTGTTTCATGAGGAAATTTACAGTTGTAATTCTCAACCAATTCAATATTAAGAATAAAAAAATTGATAAAAATAATTTTAAAAAATCATAAAAAAAATCATGTGGGGTAACACTATAGTAATCCACAATGTTTTAAGAAAAAAACTACGAAATTATATTCTCAATCAGCTCAATATAAAAAAAATAAAATCGATAAAGATAATTCTAAAAAAACAAAACAAATCATAAAAAAAACTATGTGAGGAAACACTGTTGCAATCCACAGTGTTTTAAAGAAAAAAACTATAAAGCTAAATTTTCAACCAGTTCCATAATAAAAAAATAGAATCAACAAAAAAATTTGAAAAGGCACCCAAAAATTGAAAAAAAAGAAAATTTTGAAAAAAAAATAAAAAAAAATTGTGAGGAAAGTTAAAATTAAATTCTCAATCAACTCAATAAAAATAATTAAAAAAATATATATGGAAAAACATTGTAGCAAAACAAAAATTATATGAAGAAATATTATAACAATCCACAATGTTAAAAAAAAACTATGAAACGGAATTGACAAAGGCCATTTTGAAGAAAAAAAAGAAGAAAAAATTCATAAAAAAAGAAAAAAAACTATATAGTAAAACATTGTAATAATTCATAATATTTTAAAGAAAAAATTATAGAATAAAATTTTCAACCAATTTAATATTAAAAAAATTAACAAATATAATTTTGAAAAAAAGTATAAAAACAAAAAAGAATAAAAAAAGAAGGAGATAACCATGGGAAAAAAAGAAAAAAAAAACATGTAAAGCCCAAAAAAAGGAAAACAATGAGAAAATGTGGGGGAAAAAACAAAAACAAAAAAGTATGTGAAGCGGGGAAAACTATAATATTTTCTCTATCTTTAAGAGTATTGTTAATATATGGTATTTCTAAGCATACACGGAAACTTAACATGCTTATGTTACAAGATACTAAAAAAAAAAGAAGAGCATGAATGAACAAAATCAGCATGAATGCATTTTAAAAAATAAAAACATATTTTTATTTTTTGGTTCCATATTTCTGAGCTCCAAGGCAGAGGTTGTCTTGTCGTCTTGATAGATTGCTTTCAATTAAAAAGATAAGATTTAGAGAAGTAACAGGCAAGGCTTATACTGTGGCGGAGGTAATAAAGTCTTCGAGCAGCCAATTGTACAGAAGAACAGGGATAAGATCATGCATTTGAGGACTAAAAATGGATAAATAGTGATGATCAAATTTGAGTGGTCTTGCACATCTCCAAAGTCTTCCAATAGACTCAAACCATAACCATCTTTATAGGTGAGAAATTGGTTTTTGCTAAATTTGGGTTGACTTGTAGAAAACAATTTCAAGAAAATAGTTTGAATATATATAGTAATAAAAAAAATTAATTTATGTTCATGACAGCTTCTTCGAATGTGCATTGTTAGTTTTTTCAAAGGCTGTTTTTATTTTTTAATTTAAATTTTCATCATCCTAACAACAACAATAACTACAACAAATTCCTATTAAAAAAATATTTATTATACAACTCTCATTTTTTTATTATGATAGAAAATATATATTATACCAAGTTAAATATTTGATATGTTTTTAATAAAAAAGATCATAGATAAGTGTTGCCTACAAAACTTACACTGCATGAGTATTTTAACGTAATCCAATTTATAGTGAAATATATATTGGGTTACAGAAATTATCTTTATGCCTTTTGATTAAAAAAAAATAAACCTTTTAGGTGAGGGTGTTAATATCCTTTTATTTTCATGCACAATAAAAATATTATTTTATCTCTAATATTAATAAAATATAAAAATGTTGATCATAATGTTTTTTTTAATTTTACATGAGCCGTTAATAATAAAAATATATATTTATTCCTGGAGCCAAAACAATATTGTGCTGATAGATAAGGGTATTTTATAGTTTTTAAATTTTGATGTAAAATGTAATTATATCTTTAACCAAAGAGACAAAATATAAGCTTAACATTTGAGGATATTTTTGGATAAGAGTATTTTTATACTTTTATATGGATATTTTATGTAATTATCGAGATCCTAAAAAGTATTTTGATATTTTTGATATTTTTAAAATTTGTTAATACTTAAGCTACCAAAGCATGCTCAACTTGTCTTGGTGCTTGAGTGATGTTTGTCTCGGTGCTTGAGTGATGTTTATGTTATCCAAATAGCGTATGTGACGTCACTTAGTGAATATAATTGACTTTCTGTAATTTTTTTAGATATTTGTGTTACTTTTTATTTAAAGTGGTATGTAACAACTAATAGTTGTAAAATTATTGCTAATGATTATTTGTTTTTTTTCTTTTCTGATAAATAATTTATATAATTGTCCTATTTGTTTTTTACTTTTCAATTTCAGTCTTTATTCTATTAATTTCTTATTTTGTTCCCTTTTCATTTAATTTTATTTTTATTTTTTTAATATTCCATTGCAATCTTCTTATATGCTTTATTTTTTATTTTGATCTTTCAATTTCAGTCTTTATTCTATTAATTTTTTATTTTGATTCCTTTTCATTTAATTTTATTTTTATTTTTTTAATATTCCATTGCAATCTTCTTATATGCTTTATTTTTTATTTTGATCCTTATTTTTTAAATTTTTTTATTTTATCCTTAACACTTTTGTTAAAAAAAAAAAATTCTTTCAATTTCATCATTCAATCAAATATTATCCTTAACACTTTTGTTAAAAAAAAAATTTCTTTCAATTTCATTATTCAATCAAATGTTTTGTTTTTAATTTGATCCTTATTTTTTTATTTTTTTTCTTTTATTAAAGTTATTCTTCCATTCAATTAAACCCTTCATTTGGAAATTTCTATCTCTTTGATTAAATTTTTTTTTTCACCCTTATTTTTTATCCTTTTGTGTAATTTTTTTTTATTTCATCTTTTAATATTTAATTTGTTAGGAATTTAGTTTCGTACAATTTTGTTATTCTACATTAAATTTTTTTTCTTACTATTGGTTTTGTGATTATTGTTAAGTTGTTTTATGAATTTATCCCAATCTCCTAATTTAAATCAGGATTTTTGCATATCTTTTTTTTTATATAAGTTTTTTTTAGTTGTTCTATTTCTATTTTATTTTTCAAAGTATTATTCTAATTCATTTATATTTTTTATATAAATAAAGTTTATTTTTTAAAATAAAAATATTTATTTTTAAATTATATTGCTGATATGTTTGACTTTACATAATATTTTTTATGGGATGAATTTATTTAGTTAGTTTTATTTTTATTTATTTTTTAAATCATATATATTTTAATATGTAAATATATCTTTTATTTATTTAAATAAACAAACTCAATAAATATAGAAAAATACATGTTTTTTTTATTATAAAATATCATCATCTTGTTTTCATTGACTTTTAATTTACGTTTTAAAAAATACTATTAAGAAAACAAAACTGAATGCTTTAAGGTTGGTGTCGTCTGTCAAACCCATGTTATAGTCATTACCTACCGTTTACAATTTGACCTAACTACCACCACTCCAATTCTTACGTTTTGTTTTTCAATAATTAAGTTTTAATAAAATCTTTTATTTTAATAAATTCTGTGTTTTTTTTTAATATTCAAATTTCCAATTACTTTAGAAGAATATCAAAATCACAAATACATTTTTTAATACTAAAAAAATAATTTTTTTTTAGAATGATGTCTTCTTCACCTAACTGTAATATTATTTTGAAAATTAATTGTTTGACAAAAGTTTTTTTGTAGAGTTAGATTTGGTAATAGTAGTTATTTTTAAAATTATTTTTAATTAAAATATATTTTTAAATAATATATTCTTTAATTTTTTAAATATATTTTTATTATATTAAAACTATTTAAAAATATAAAAAAATTATTTAAAAAAAACACAGTTTGACAACATAAATAAACACACCCTTAATATGTCAAATTGTTTTTTTTTTCTTTTTGATCTTGATACAACTGCTACTATGTTTTTTTAATAATGTATTAATCTAAATTTCTTTTTAAACATCAAAATTTTTGTACCAAATCTTCTTAATTATCATGGGAATTCTTGAAATTACAAGCTCATATCATTAAATTACTTAAAATTTATAATTACTTATCTAAATTCTCTATAAGCTCTCTTCATATATAGGGACTTAAAATGGCTTGAAGATATCTGGCCATTATTAAAACAAAGGGAGTACAAATTAATTTTTTAAATAACGGACTTAAAGAAAAGGGAAAATAAGAAAAAATAAATCAATAAATATTTTATAAAGAAAAAAAAACACTATCTTATAGTTTCAAATACCAATCAGAATTTGTTTTTTTTTTCCCCCAACACCAAAATCCTTTCTATAAATAAGATTACATCTTCTTCAGCTGTACCTTCGAGCCTCCCAATACAGAGTAGTCTCTCTCTCTAGATTCATTGAATCTGAAAGTAAAACGCCTTCACCGTCGAGCTCTTTGTTTATCCTTCTTCTTGCTGCAACCATGTCTCTCTTGTCTGATCTCATCAACTTGAACCTCTCTGATACTACTGATAAGATCATTGCAGAATACATATGGTATCAATCAGTTCCACTTTCTCTCTTTTTACAGTCTCTCTTCTCTGCCTTGTATCCATTTCCTTTGACTGCATATGATATATTTTCTCAGTCCTCTGTTGTTCCCTCTTTGTGCGTTTGCCTTTTTGCTCCTTTGTTGGGGATAGCTGAAATTCTTTAGTTGATTATGGAACTCCTGTCTTTGCGTCTCTTAATTAATCCAATGAGTTTTGATCTCTCTTGTTGTACTTCAATGTTTTGCAAACAGTGTTATTTCCAAGTCCTCTGTTTTTCTCCTTTTTATGACTGCATCTAAAAGTTTTCATTTTGCTCTTTCTTTTGGATTCTTTCATTTCTAACATTAATGGGCACATTTTTGTTTTGCTTAATCTAAGAACTTGATCCCTCAAGTGTTTATATCACCCTCTTTAATGGTTGCTCTGTTTTGATGTTTTTTCAAAGTTTTGATCTTGATATGTCACTTATGTTGCAGGATCGGTGGATCTGGTATGGATCTTAGAAGCAAAGCCAGGGTAACCCATATTTTCTCTGTTCACGTTTCTATTACGATCCTTTTAGTTGTTTTCTTGTGAAAGTTTGTTGATTTACATGAAACAGACACTTAATGGAGTAGTGAGTGATCCTCATAAGCTTCCAAAGTGGAACTATGACGGTTCAAGCACCGGCCAAGCTCCCGGAGAAGACAGTGAAGTCATCTTATAGTACTCTCTCTCTCCTTCTCTCCCCCTTTCATCCCCCCTTGTGTTTTAATGGCACTTGTCCTTCTGGTGCATGGATTTACTTTTGTTGTGATGTCATGAAAATAGCCCACAAGCAATATTCAAGGACCCATTTAGGAGGGGCAACAACATCCTAGTAAGTCCCTTCCACTTATTCTAGTCAATTTGTCCGATTCTTCATTAAAGGAGTTTTTAAGAAATTAATTCTTTTGATGACTTCAAATATATATAGGTGATGTGTGATGCTTACACTCCAGCTGGAGAGCCAATCCCAACTAACAAGAGATACAATGCAGCAAAAATTTTCAGCCATCCAGATGTTGTTGCTGAGGAGCCTTGGTATCTCTCTATCCATGTCTCTGTATACTAGAGTTATTTTCAGATATTAACCTTTTCTTATTAAATTAAGAATATTCTTCTTCTCTTTTTAAGGTTTTGTGGATTCTATTATAATTATTTTCAAATAATTTAATATAAACATGCAGGTATGGTATAGAGCAAGAGTACACCTTGTTGCAAAAAGATTTAAAATGGCCAATTGGGTGGCCTGTTGGTGGTTATCCTGGACCTCAGGTATTAATTTCTTTCTTTCTTTTTTTATTTTGATTTACGCTCCCCTTAATTCTATTTTATTAACCATTATTTAACCCTTTTTTTCCTTAATTAGTACGAAACACCATATCCTAATTTCTTAATCTCAAGGGATTTGTCTTCAATTAATGTGAATTGAATTGTTTGCTTGTTATATCAGGGTCCTTACTACTGTGGTGCTGGTGCTGATAAGGCTTTTGGCCGTGATGTTGTTGACTCCCACTACAAGGCATGCCTTTATGCTGGAATCAACATTTCTGGCATCAACGGGGAAGTGATGCCTGGCCAAGTAAATACAGATTTTACTTGATTCTTTTGAGCTGTCCAAGCTAGCTTACATTATTTGTACTCCTGTCTATAGCTGAGCTTATTTTCTGAACACACAAAATTTCTTGCTTAAACAGTGGGAATTTCAAGTTGGCCCTTCTGTTGGCATCTCAGCTGGAGATGAGTTGTGGGTTGCCCGTTACATTCTTGAGGTACTTTGAGCTTTGTTTTCAACGATCTACTTTCTTCATGCTAATAAATATGAGGTTGAAACCAAATATGCTGTTACTGATGCTGTGTGGTTTTATGACAACAGAGGATCACAGAAATTGCTGGAGTGGTCGTTTCCTTTGACCCAAAACCTATCGCGGTTAGATTCTGTATCTGTAATCTTTTTTCTTTTCTGATGCAAAAATAGAGGATTAAACATCTTACTGCTAAGCATTTGCACGTCTTCCTAACTTTGTTGAGTGCCTTGTCTTGCCAGGGAGACTGGAATGGAGCTGGTGCGCACACAAACTACAGGTAATTGGTTGTGAATATTACGTTTGGCACTGCAGTGAAAAACAGACCAAAGCGAAGGACCTTTTCTGCTACTTTTTTCTTCACATTTCAATAGAGCATCTAATAAAAGCTTGCCGTGTTTATTTCAGTACCAAGTCCATGAGAAATGATGGAGGTTTTGAAGTTATCAAGAAGGCCATTGGAAATCTTAAATTGAGGCACAAGGAACACATTGCTGCTTACGGAGAAGGCAATGAGCGTCGTCTGACTGGTCGCCATGAAACAGCTGACATCAACACCTTCTCTTGGGTAAGAATTTTTCTTCATCGTGGATTATTTGCAGCACTCATCTTTCAAAATTCAAGTACCCAATCGCTCTGTTACCTTCGTTGAATAGGGTGTGGCGAATCGTGGAGCTTCAGTTAGAGTTGGCAGGGATACAGAGAAAGCTGGGAAAGGTTACTTCGAAGACAGAAGGCCTGCTTCCAATATGGATCCTTATGTTGTCACCTCCATGATTGCAGACACGACCATTCTCTGGAAACCATAAGAGATCACCACCATACTTGTTCTCTGGTTGATTATTGTGATTGTTGGGCCTTGTCTTTGCATGAGGAAGCCTTGATAAGCTCTCTGCCTAGTTAGAACTTGCTATTCCCATGGTATTATTATCTTGGTACAAGAATTGCCTCGTCGTTTTCCCCGTAATTGAAAGAAAATAAAATTAGTAGCATAGATGGCAGATTATTATTGGAAACAATAAGAGTGCAACGAAGAATTGCCTCTTCGTTGTCCATTTCCTGAATTTAGTGTTGTTTTTTCCTTGAAATGAATTAAAAATCAAGCTTCCCCTCCGTCCATTATATTGTGAAATTTGGTAGAACTGGAAACAAGGGTATTTTTCTTTTTTTAATTGACATTAAAAATTAGAAAAATAATAATAAAATTGTAAGTTCATCCCGAAAATTCATGACCTGGAGCTTAACTTGAGCTAGGGTTCAAGTTGAATAAAATATTGACTTGTACATACTCTATTTAAGCTTCATCGAGTTCTTGTTTTTTGTGTAAAAAATGATAAATGTTGTTTAATAAAAACAATTGATTCCACATGGTAATTTAGCAACTATTTTTTTAGTCAATCTTTGGGTTGAGAATAACAATTATGGATTACAAATCTTAATCCTCATGATAACCATCAATATTAAAAAAGATTAAAATTTGATTTACTCTAATATTAAAATTTGATTTCCTAGAAATAATCAGATTAATGGAATTAATTGAATTACATGCAAGTTAGTTAAAATATTTATATTAATAAAAATAAAACTAAAAATATTAATTTATAATTATTAATTTATAGATAATTATAATATTATATACAAGAAAACCATAAGTACCGAGAAAGATTAAAAATTTAAATTTATAGATGGTTATAACAATACCCAAGAATGAATGTTTAATTGATCTTAAAATCTCTTCATATTCATATAAAGTAGAGTATCTTCAAGTATAGAAGGGAGTTAGTAAATATATTCGGGAAAAAAAATAATAGTAGACTAGTAGAATATATTGCTGCATAAGAACCTTATTCTAAAAAAAATTTGATTTGTTGAGGTGAAGTAGACGGTATCCTTCAACAATGTTTTTTAAATTTTATTTCAATAAGTTGATATTAAAATTAAAAAAATTATTTTAATATATTTTTAAATAAAAATTATTTTTAAAAACAGACTACTTTTCTATCCTTTTCCGACGAGCTCTCACCTCAAGAATTGTGGACTGTTCCTTATCATTTAATGAACTAATAATTACAGTCCTTCCTCCATACATGCACAGGGTTGATTATTATCTCCATGAGATTAGCAAATCACGTAAAATTCTTTTCATGTTATTAGTTACATCTATTTTTATAGTGGTTTTTTAAAATATTTTATATATTAAAATAATTTAAAATATATAAAAAAATTTAATTTTTAATTAAAAAAATAACTTATTAGAAATACGGTGTGTGCCGTGTTTCTAAATATTTAATGTCATTGATGTATTAATAATAAAAAAATTAAAACTAGTTTTTAATTGTATCGTACAAATTTAATTATTTCTAATTTATCCTTGAATTTAATTTATTTTCGACCCTATTTTTAATAAAGGGATGATTTTTTGTTCCATACTAGGTTTTAGTTTAAGCTTTGAGAGAGGGAGAGAAGGTGAGGCATGGTAATGGTTTGTTATAATATACGTTAGGTAGTGTAATCATCTGATTGATTTTTAAAATTTGCTAACACTGTAATGTTTTAGGAAATGGTTGCAAAATGATTTTTGTATCAAACTATAGTTTGATTAGAGTTAAAAAAAAATAGATATTAAAAATATAGTTGAAAACTTAACTTATTTGGTAAATAAATTTATTGTTTTGAAGTTTGATCTGGTCTGGTAGGTCATTCCGGGATTTGGCCGATCCAGAGTTAAAATTGAGCCAGTTGAAGAAAAAAATAGGGAAAAAAAAATTCAGTATGATCCAGTTGATCTAGTGACCCGATTGACCCTGCAAGACTTGGTTAAAAACCTAGTTGTATTTTATTGACTTGTTTTTACTAAAACAATGTCATTTTGATTTAAAAAGATGATCCGAACAATCCAATGACCCGATTAAAATTTAATAACCTAGTTAAAACTTAGAATTCGGATCTTGAACTGGATGGATACTAACCAGATCTACAAATTATAAACAAATTTGTTATTTCACTTTAGACTCATAATTAAAAAAAAAATGAGAGAAAGAGATATGGTGCAAAAAACAAGAGCATATCATGTTGCTTAAAAAAGAGTTTAAATACAAATTTGGTAATGGGATGAAGAGTATTTTTAAAAATATTTATTAATTAAAAATATATTAAAATAATATTTTTTTACTTTTTATATTAGTGCATTGAAACATAAATAAATATTTAAAAAAATTAATTGAACCTTCCTTTTCAAATAAGAAATATTAAAAAAAAAGGCTCCTATATTGCAAACGGGTAATAAGAACTACATGACAAAACTTTTATTGTTAAAGTTGCGAGGATGCGCTTTTAAAAAGAGTTAAAATTTATTTTTTTAATTAAAATTTATTTTATTTTAAAATGGGTTTAATGTATTTTAAAAAATAAAAAAATATATTATTTTAATATATTTTTCAATAAAAAATATAAAACAATTGCAAACCCCACGTGACAGATAATTTTTAATTCTTATTTTTGTTTTCACCCACCAGCAAATAAATTCCATTGAAAAGCAAACCGTACCGCTTTGGTCGGGCCTTGTTTGTTTCTCAACAATATTTATTTATTTATTAGCTTTTCCTTGTTAATAGTAGCTACCTCGTTACCAACCCACAAACGTACGCTAGCGTAGACCTTTTATGTAGTGATTGGTGCATGTTGGTGATTATTTTTTATAATATTTATTATATATATATATATATATATTAAAATAATATTTTTTTTATTTTTTAATATTAGTATATTAAAATAATTTTAAATAAAAAAATAAAAACACCATTTAAAACTTAGATATAAACGTTTCTCTTAATTAAAATTCAGATTTTTTTTCTCACCGACAATTTTTTGGCTTTTTTTCCTTTCTTTCATCTTCTTACTACTATTCATGCAAATCATGTTCCTCAATGATGAATTATATAACTAATAATTCTTTAATTATCATCCCCGGCCAACTAAGTCCATAAACCTCATTATTAGAACCCACTATGTAATCAACAATTCCTTAATTGCCTTCCTTGACCAACTAATTCTATAATCTCCATCTTTAGAGTCAACTATGTAAGCACCAATTCCTTTAGTTACCATCCATATTCTCCATGAAAAACAACAAAAAACAAATTTATTATTTCAAAAAATATATTTATGTTTTCAAATGGCATATAGTCATGATTCTCCAAACAAAAATCATGTTTTTTATTTTTAATACAAATAAAAAACACAAAAGGCAAAAAAAATTGCATGATTCTAGGAATTATTTGCCGTAAAATTTTATAATTGATTGCTTTATTTCATAATCCATTTTGGTTCTTCCAATAGCGAATGGAAATGTAAATTTGGGATTGAGTTAGGTAAGGACTATGGATACGGTGTATTTTACTGAATCTCCTAACTTTATTTTGGAAGGTTTGGTGAAGGGTTGGCAGGGAATTTTAGGATTTGTCTAGGAATATAAAATTATTTTCATTTTCTAATTCTAGTTTCTCTTTTCTTTTGTAGCTTCTTTCAATATAGAAAAATATGTTTATTTATTAAGAATGAAGAGGATTTGTTTTCCTTAATAATAATAATTATTATTATATAAACATCGAGATTATAAATATTTAAAGTAAAAAAATCAAAACCATAATTAATAATTATTATCTTAATATTTTATTTCGGTGATAATTTAATTTTAAGATTTTAATTTTATTCAATTCAAATTGGAAATTACGATGAACAAGCTGTGCTTGTTAACTCCAAAAAAAAAACATCTTTTATATTATTTTTATAATAAAAATAAATAAAATTACGACACTAGCTAAATATAAAAATATCAAAAAAATAAATATTTTAAAAATAGTTGTATATAAAAAATGTTGTATCATTGATATTTTTTATTTAAAAAACAGTGGATTTTTTTTAAAAAAAAAACTTTGAAGAACATCTAAAATAAGTTTTTTAAAATTAAAAAAAATTTGGAAAACTGAAAAAATAGTTTTTTTAACTTTCTTGAAGGAAAAGTATTGTATTTAAACAAAAAAATAAATTTTATTTACTCTAATTTTTCTAAAAATGAGAATATTAATCTATGAAATTTGTGGGTGACTTGGAAGTGTTTAGGTCCTATGTGAAGGAAAATAAAAGAAAAATAAAATAAATATGTTGTTTCCTTGCTTGCGTATAAATCAAGCTCCCCTGACTGGTAACTGTACAATTGACAGCTTGACATTGATGACTATAGTGGTTTTTTCCGTAGAGAGAAAGAGCTATGATTGAGGGTTGAGGCCGCTAGCAAGTGCATGTTTCTGTAGAGAGAGAGAGAGAGAGAGAGAGCTATGATTGAGGGTTGAGACCGCTAGCAAGTGCATGCTGTACATTGTTAGTGATTGCATCATGAAATTTAAAAGGCTGGTAGGTTGGTTATTTTTTTTTTTTATGTTCTTTAGATTTTGAATATATTATTTATAAAAATATTTTTTTAATTTTTTAATCTAATATAAAGGTTGTGTTTTTCTTAAAAACAAATGATTTTATAGTCCCTTATTAATATTTTACTTCATCTTATGGTTTAATAGGATTTTTAAATTTTTTAGTTTCAAATTATATGTTTGGATTGTTTATATGTTAAAAATAAATTTTAAAAAATAAAAAAATTATTTTAATATATTTATAAAAATTATTTTATATTATACTCAGGTTCAAAACCTCGTATTAAAGTTAACAAAGTTAGAAGACAATTCACTATAATGAGTCATTTGATGGTAGTCATATTGTACAAAGTTTAATAGTATATTTTTCGGTATGCTCTTAGCATTTTCTCTTGTTAATAATGATGTAGTTCTACTTTTATCTTCTTAATTTCATCTCACAGACTTTTGATTGGTGAAAATGGTGGTTCTTCAATTTTTTTATTACATTAAAAGATATTTTCATAGTCCTCCATTATTAATATCATTATTTTTCTCCATTATTAAACCATATTTTATCTGTATAGAAAACAAAAAAAATTGAATAAAAAAAATATTATGATAATCAAGTTGTAATTACAAATATCCAAGAGAAGCGAGTCTCTCGGGAGGAAGAGAAATTAGAACACGTCTAATCTTTGAGAAATATTTGATAAAATTGAGGATAATGCAACCATGACGAGGAAACCGAACGTGAATCGAGGATCATGTCCTAATGCAACCGTGACGAAGAAACCAAGTTGGTTCTCCTTTTCCATTCTAATTCCACGCTACAAAAATCCAATGAGATCGGACCACGTAAGAAAGCGACACATCATCCCATGTGAGGTTTCCATTTAGGAATCTTTAATTATCGATGCTAAAGTAGATATGATCATTAAATATGAGTATGTCACAAAATGTGGGGGTTGGCGTTAAAAGTTTTTAAAAATATTTTTGAATTTTTGAATTTTTTGAATTTAATTTTTTTATGTTTTCAAATTGTTTTCATATATTAATATTAAAAATTATTTTTAAAAAATAAAAATTACTTTAAAAAATAAATACTATTATACTTTTAAATAATTCAAACTCGAGTAAGCACTAAAGTAGGAGCATGAGCATCTCTCGAAGCTTTTAGTAAGTAGATGAAACGATAATCACTACCATAGTAGAAAGAAACAAACAAAAGATAGAAAGAAATTACTAACATCACATGGTGCATGGTTACGTGGAAGCCATGATAGAAAATGGGTGTCTCCAATTGCGATTTCTATATATTTGGTGAAAATTTTAACAAAAAAGGATCATTTTTCATGTTTGGTATAACCTAACGTAGAATCCAATCAATTTTTGACTACGTGATATATAATAAGAAATCGTTGCATCTCTTTAAAAGAAAATAAACCTAAAACCTCCAAATAAAAATTTCAAAATTGAAGAAGCATCATTGGTACATTTTATTTTAAAAATATATAAATTCATGCTGAAACTATATTAAAGACATTTATTTTACCTTGGTTTCTTCGATTAAACATATTTATATCATTATTATATTTATCCTTTCTATCATATGATAATGACCAAAGACAATCTAAATGAACACCTTTTAAAAATATTTATAGGACGTTAATTGCCTGTGAGAGCATTCACATTTCCTGCGATTCTATTGTTTTAAGCTATTTGGTTAACAGCTATCCACGTTTTCAAACTCCATGGGGCCCACACAAATTGCGTTCCAAACGTAGGATAAGCAAAAGCAACTTGTTGTTGCTTTTGCCGTGGCTGTTGTTCAGAAAACGCTGCAACCTTTACCAAAAAATTAATTAGCCCTATCTGTCCTTAACATCACGATCGTCTCCCCTTGTCCACATTCACCTCCCTAAGCTCTCCTCCTCCACAATTGCCCTCTTCTCAAAAAACCAATGCTCCTCTTCGTGCTTTCAATGTGGCAAACACATCCACACACACTCTTCATCCATTCTCTCACGCAGACCGTTATTAGTGTCTGTAGTCGAGTGTAGATCAAGCCCATTTGTCATTGATCTGCTGCCATGATGAACTCCTTTCACAGTTGAAGAAGACACGCACTGAACCAGGTAATTTTCTTCGCACTTGACCTAAAAAATGTATAGATCATACCTTATCAGCTAAAATAAACTGTTTTCTCTAATTAAAATTTTCTCTTGCTGTGTGTTTTCTTTGTCAGAACCAAAGAGAGCATCAAAATCATCCTCCTTGAAAGCTCTAGCACAAGCATCTTACCAATCTCTGTCTTAGTTGCACAAGAAAATTTAAGGTCAGTTTCTCTATTTCGGTTGCACAATTACTTTATATCTCTGATTATATGTGATTTTGGCTGTGCGTGGTGTGAAACCATCAAAATGTTAACATTTCCTTACACTTTTATGTATAGCTAGGCACAAATACATGTGCTTTCATGTTAAAGATTTTGATTTTGATGTGAGTTTTTTATTTAAATGGGAGCTAGTTGGTCATTACCTTCATTGTCTTTGCTAAATTTGGTTTAGCATTAGTAGAATGATTCTTTGTTTTTGTTTTAAATTAGTAAATTCAATCAAGAAAAGGTTAATCATTATTGTCAAGAGAAGGTTTGAAAAGAGTAGAGTATTACTTTATGTTAGCTAGAATTGCTGCCAATTTTTTTTTTTGATCAACTGGGATATGATAAAAATTATAAGATTTTGTTAACATAAATGATGTGATTGCGGAGTGTGAAAAAGGGATGGGCTTTTTTTTCTCAGGAAAGAAAAGAGCATAGGATTTTGCAATATGTGGATATTAGTGTTGTGGAAATCAAGAGTTTCTTTTACACCGGTTTTTTAGTTTAGAGTGGCAATTTAAGTTTTCGGGACAAGATTTTTATGGTTGTTATCGTATAACATGAAGGGAAGTTTCAAAGTATTAAGAGGGGATGATAAAAGTTATGGTTTATAATGTATATATGAAGGGAGAAGATTGTGTGGGGATTTTGTTGTTGCAAGGAAAGGGAGATGGTGAGTTAAATCTGTTGGTTTTTTCTTGTGTTTGTACTTTATATGCTTGTAAATAGTCTTCGTTCAGAGGTCTTATAATGACATATAAGCTTTCTTTTATAGAATATAAACTAAAGGTTTTCTTTGTCTAAACTTCTGCCAACTGTAATACTCTATACATCACATATTAATATATTATCATTATCTTCATTGACATTAAAATTGAAGAAATATTAGTAATACTAGGCAATGCAAACATTGACTTGTTGAAACATTAATGAAAATAAACCTAGCAATTATAATGTTAAGCTGATTATGTTAAGTCTATGTTCTCAATTTGCATTTTGTATTTTAGGTTGCGATTTATTAATTAAGATAGATGGTGCATTTCATGTCCTTTACATCACCTCTAGAAAATTAACCTGTTATTTGTTTATTAGAAAAAAACATTTTAACTAAGAGCATGGATGATTCTTAATCACAAGATAAAGCTTGTTGGACTAGAGAGATATTGCATGTTTTTTGTGACATATGTATTAAACCAATTGAGCAAGGTATGCAACCCAACACACATTTCGACAAAGCTAGGTGGAAATATATTATGAATTGCTTTAAGGATCAAACTGGCCATGCATTAACGAAAGCACAATTAAAGAATAAATGGGATAAAATTAAAAAAGATTGGAGAATATAGAAAAGGTCGATTTCTAAAACAGGAGTAGGATGGAGTGCTAAACTTGGAACAATTACAGCTATTGATGAATGGTGGCAAGCTAAAAACCAGGTCTGTTTTTTTTAATATGTTTAGAGTTGTAACAAACTATTTGATTGCGTTTTGATGCATTTTTTTATTCATTATCCCTTTATTATAGGAGATACGCAGAGTAAGAAAGTTTTGCATACTGGCATTGATCCAACATTGTGTTGTAAATATGATATCATGTTTACAAACACTGTTGCTACCGGTCAATATGTTTAGGCTCTATCACAGGGTCTGAATTCTAATGAAGATGGTGTCGGTCAAAGACAAACTAATGTAGTTAATAAGGACTCTCATCTTCAAGAAGGTAATGGAGATTTTGAGGAGGATAGTCTACCAAATTTTGTTACTGATGTTAATAATATGGTGGCTAGTGTCAATTTTGCCAACAACACAAGCAATCCCACTGGTAGTAGTAGGAAGAGAAAAGATGTGCAACAAAGTTCCCAACAACATGAGAAAAAAAAAGGGTGCCGAAAGGGGATCGTATTTGTTTTCACGATTAGATAAATTAGTTGATAGTGTGTCTACCGAAAGTGAATGCACGTCAAGTGTTTTGGATAAAAAAAGGATGTAGCATAAAAGAGGTGATGAAGGAGTTTCACTCCATTGAGAAAGTGGTGTTCGTGAGCTCTATTGTTTTGCAATTGAGTTTTTTTGGCTAGAAGTAGGAGGAAAACATGGGCAGTAATTGGTGATATGGACCAAAAATTTCAGTTGCTGAAATTAATGTTCGATCGAAGGGCAACCTACAGACCTTGAAGTAAGTTTACATTTGATATAGGAAAAAATAACAGTTATATAAGTTATTGTGTTATATGTTACAGCAATAAAATTTTATTGTGTGCCATATGTTTTGGTAATTATTGCATGCATTTTATATTTCAAGTGTTTTTTAATGTTTAGCACACTTATAATGTTTGGTTTGTATTCCAATGAGCCGTTAACATGTTGTATGGTTATGTGTTTTCTCACAGTTAAAAGTCTAAAAAAAGGTTAGGTGCATGAGGTGTTGCTGCGATTGTAGAATTGCCAAATGGTTGATGCAAACGGTTATGCCTTTAATATTTTTTCCTAGGTTTCTTAACTTGTAACGTATCATATGTTGAGCACTTCCTTTGTATTTATAGTTGTAGGTTAATTGGTTATGTTTGAGATGTTTTTAACAGCTATTGTTGTACCTTTTACAAGTTGTAATTGTAGGTTTCATGTTGACTTCGATAACCTAGTTTGAATGGTTGGAAAACTTTGTGTTCAGTTTGCTTTTTCAGCTTGAATTTTATATTGTAACTTAACGGATTTCATGGTTTTTTATGAGTTGAATGACAGTTGATTGGTTGAATGTTAGTTGACTTGAATTGCTGCTACAACATTGAATTATTGTTCCTTACTTGAATGTTTGATAGTGGGTTGAATGGGAGTTGCTGGGTTGAATGGTTGGTCATGGTACAAATATTGGTTTGCTGATGGGTATGACAGTAAATATATCTTGGTTTGTGCTCTGTGTGTGTTTCTATTTAAGATGCATTATCATTTCAAAGTATTTTCATTGGCTGACCATAAATTTTACAAGCATTCCCACGTGTATTGAAGGCTATTTTCAGGAGGTTTTGTTGTTGTTTTTAATTGCAACGTCAAGTTCATTGACTTTAAAAGGTTAGTTGTTGATTTTAGGGTGATTTTTTAGTTAATACAGCTTTATCTTTATGTTTTGTTATCAAATTTAGATGGTAAATCTGATAGGGCTGCTATTATTGTCAATAAAGCAAGTTCATTTTTATTTTTTTTTTCTATTTATACAACAATCCCTTATCTTTATTTTTTTTTTGTCATGAAACCTTAATTGCCTGTCATCACATATTTCAAGCATGCTAACATGTTTGAACACTGTTTTGAGGGTTGAATTTAAGTTTGTGCTGTAAAATATTGAATGTGTTACTTATAAGTAAAATTTGTGCGATTCGTTGGGTCGCTTCAATTTAAATGTTTTTTACTTAAATTAATGTCACTGTAAATAAGTTCGATTATTAAGGATTGCTTCAATGAAGATGTTTTGGGATAAGTTAATATCGCCATTAATGTTTAAAATAATGTAAACAAATTACGCAGTAAAAACTGTCATGTTACCTTTACATTGTAGGTTAAAAATTACAATTGTTGTTGTGTTGGAAAATATTGAATGAGTTACGTATAAGTTAAAGATGTTCGATATTTAGCGCTTGATCAAACATAAATGTTTTGTGTTAAGACCGTCATTAACAACACAAAAAATAAAAACATATTATTAAATGAACATGTATTATTTACCAGTACTTTGCAAGTTAAAAATTGATATTAAGTTGTGTTTGTAGATATAGATGCGAATTGGTTTAATGTGCTTTTTGATGACCATTATGAAAATGTTATGAATAATGCTGGTTGATGTATGTTTGATGGGTTTGCTGGTACAAGTTCAGAAAGTGGTTTTGGAGGTAGTTTCGGTGATGGTTATAGGAACTATAACAGTGAGGTTCAGGATGACAACCTAAATCAACAGGATGACGATGACAGTGGCAATTTATTTTGGCATAGAGGGTGTGATCGAACTAAATTAGTCATATGTACTGGCTTTGTATTACAATACATATATTTACAAAGAGTCATGTATAGATTCATACAACACTGGCATGCGATGGTTAACTGAAATTTTAAATGGGCATTGGATGCGTTACGTGAATATGTTTCGAATGAATGCGAACACATTGAATAGTTTAGCTTTTGAGTTGGAAACGATGTACAGGTTGAAATTGTTTAGACGGATGAGTGTTATTGAGAAAGTATGCATGTTTCTCTACACTTTAGCTCTAGGTGCTTCGAACAGGGAAGCGCAGGAGCGTTTTCAACATTCAGGTAAAACCGTTTCTAGAAATTTTAATGAGGTTCTTTGTTCTGTATGCTTACTAGCAGCTGATTTAATCAGACCAGTAGATCCAGAATTCACAACAACACCATTAAAAATTATCTCTACACTTTAGCTCTAGGTGCTTCGAACAGGGAAGCGCAGGAGCGTTTTCAACATTCAGGTAAAACCGTTTCTAGAAATTTTAATGAGGTTCTTTGTTCTGTATGCTTACTAGCAGCTGATTTAATCAGACCAGTAGATCCAGAATTCACAACAACACCATTAAAAATTAAAATGAATCCGAGATACATGCCTTATTTCAAGGTAAGCAATACTATGTACAAGTAGTTAAATATTTCAAAAGGTTACAATCAAATATTTAAGTGCAATTAAATTGCTTCAGCAATAAATTTTTTGTTTTTGTAGAATTGCATTGGAGCGATTGATGAAATACATGTACATGCATGTGTTTCCCAAGAAAATCAAATACCATTTATTAGCAGAAAAGGTATACCGACACAAAATATAATGGCAGCATGTAGTTTGGACATGCAATTTATATTTTTTTAGGCTGGGTGAGAAGGTAGTGCTTATGATAATAGAATATTTTATGAGGTGATTGTAAATACAAACATATAATTTCTGCACCCACCGGAAGGTATTCACCCGAAAAAAAAATATGGTTGTTGTTCAGCTGGTCTAATTTGTTTTTCTATGAAGTATTTTGTAAGCGTTAAACAATTAGTACATTTATGCAGGGAAGTATTATCTCATTAATTCGGGATATCTGAATGAGTACAATTACTTGAGTCCATATAGAGGGGAGAGATATCATCTTCCAGAATTTCATCAATGAGGACAACCGTGAAGTCGAGAGGAACTATTCAACCAAGTCCATTCATCATTACGATGTGTAATCAAACATATATTTGGAGTTTGAAAGAAAAGATGGTGAATCTTGCAAACAATGCCTGAGTTTCCTTACAAATCACATGTTAAAATTATTGTCACATCAATGGCGCTGCACAACTATATTCGACGGAAGTCAGGCCAAGATGTTGCATTTAACAAGTTTGATAGCCATTTTGATTTCGTTTCTCTAGATACTTTTCCATATGTCGCTCCACAATCACAAACAACTGGACACTAAAGGGCGTTGCGTATGGATTATATTCGTGATGGCAAAGCAAATAGTTTGATGGGGAATTAATGTTTAATTTTAATAACAAATCACGCTTTTATTATTTTACCGGTATTTATGTGGACAAAATATTTTATTTTCTCTTAACACACAAAATTATTTTATTTATGTCCTTTTTCATCATTTTGGGTACAAAAGCAACCGAAATCACAAGTTTAACTAAACATGTTTTTAGCAACAATAAAGTCAAACCATACTTTTAACCAAACACTCAAAATATATACACAAACCACAGAAAAAGTGTTTTTTTAAAAAAAAAATTACTTTTTTCCAATCGCAACCATAACAATTACAGCAAAAATAAACATATTTTAAACCAAAAACTAAAAGAAATGGGTGAATAACTTTGCCCTGTAAGACGAAACACTATAAATTCATATAGTGTTTTTTTTTTAATTTAATCCTTTTAAGTTCAATTAATTTAAAATTATAATTGGTGGTTTGTTTCGATTAATTTCACAAGAGTTTCTTGCAATGGTTAAAAATCTTTTGGCACCAAATCAATGCTTGATTTGGAAAATTCAAATTGTTTTTTTTAGTTAAACATAATTGAAACTTCAAGGTCCAAATTTGATACTTGGACCAAATTTCAGGCTTTTTTAATACTGTATCTAATGCATGTTTTTAGCATATTTAGTTAATTCAACTTCTTTCATTTCAACTTTTATTTTCTAATATTTTATTAATATTTTATATTATTTTTAGATCAGTTAAATCAATTAATTCATGGCTAAAAGTTGAAAGAATTCAATAATGAGCAGAAAAACAAGGTTTAATGGCACTTGATGGGAGTTTCTTGTGGTAATGCGTAAAAGTCGTATTAATTTTATATTTTGTTAATACCACCTCATTAAAATTATTAGGATTTCCTTTAGAATTGAAGCTTAATTTAAGAACAATGATTATGAATTATTTTTTTTCTATTGACAACATTTTTTATTTCTTTTTACGTTAAAAAACAATTCGAGAAGGATGGGCCACCAATCTAATGACTACTTGGGTTCTTAAGACGCAAGGACACGTAAGGGAAGGTAGATTTATTGTAACACGACATAACGGGCTTGGAACAATATTGCATGCCAGTCAGAAATATAGGCCCAGAAAAGGACAGCAGGATTTTATGCTGGTAATTATATGGTCACAGAAAAATCCAATTACAGCATACTGAGCTCATGAACTAAGAGCCCAGCCCATAAAAAAAACACACACCAGTACAGCCTCTCCAAAAGAGAAGCATCCACTTCATAGGAAAATAAATAAATAAATAAATAGGGATCCCCAAAAATATCATAATATACCCTTACTTATGTGGGCAAATATTTTAAGAAGATCATCTTTCCATAAATTCTCCCCTCCCAAAAAAAAAATGAAATTAATTTGAATAGATTCCTTTTTCTTTGATGAATGACTACATGATACTTAGATTCCAAACATACACCCAGCGGATTTTTCCTTATAATTTTGTAGTTATTAAACCTATAGTTTTTAAACTCAATCAAAAGATTGATTTAGCACAACTGAACAAGGTCAACTTAATTTTTTAATTTTATAAAAAATAAAATGATATTATTTTAAAAATTAACAAGTTTTAATTGTATTTTTCCTGAATTAACTAAGTTGCGAGTAGTTTTTGAAGGTTACACCAAGTCAATTCTCTTTTTATTTTTATTGGAACAATACTTTATTTACATCCTAGTCATCTAAATTACGGGTTACCCTGCCCGGTTAAGTTAGTTTTTAAAATAATAATTGAACCCAATTTAAGGATAGATTCAATAAAAGGTTTGGATTACAAGGCAAGCAAGTTAATTGTGTTGATAATTTTTTTTTTTAAGAAAATTAATAAGTTATCATGTCTTAAATTGACTTATCAAGTTAACTATATCAACTCTGAGTTGATTTTTTTGAGATCAAAGTCAGGAAAAGCTTTGATGGACTATTAATTTAGACTAAGTTTAATAACAGTATCATTTTATTGTTATTATTATTATTATTATGTTATGTTTCAAAAGAGGGGGCTTACATGTTAAAAGTGAAAATTCTTTGTGAACATCTGTAATTTAAAAAGATAGGAACAAGACTACAATGGGCTCCTGTCCAAGGACAGACAACATGACTAGATCACGGTTGTTT